CTAAAATAGGAAACAGGCCTCTAATCCTTTGCGATTTATGCACAAAAAACGTTCCCTCTAATCCAACTAATCTTGATTCTTTCAGTAATTATAGATTTTGATGCAGCAGGCCGATCCTTGTGATTTGTCTCGTCTGTTGGTGCAGCTGTAGTGCAGGTGTGTTTTTAAGTAGAAAAGTGTGTCAATCAGTGACTTTCACAACAATGTTGTGACACAAAAATGACACCAGGGAATGGGCTTACACGGGTCTCTGCAGTAAATTTGGTTGGCCAGGGTGAGACGTTCGTGTCACACACGTCTGCAACATCACAACCAAAACAAGGAAAGAGTTGGTTCATTGTTATTTTGTGGAGAACAACTATGATAGGTGAAACTACATGGATTGCAGTGATTTCATAAAATCTTAAGGGTGGACATTATTCATGGGGATTGGTGGAGATTGTGTAAATTGCTGCATTTTAAAGGGACTGGTATGTGGATTTTACTATGTAGCCATATTGACAGCTTGATCTTGTACCTGTTTCAGTGGATGTTTCTAGGCTCCAAACAGAGTGATGATGTGATTGTTGGGCAACAGATCAAATGTGGAAATGTGCCAAAATTGTTCAGAGGTTTGATAAAGTTTTCATGAGTTCTTCAATGTTACTCTGGCTCGAGAGGAGCCTTCATGCCAGTAGTTCATTAAGACATCCAGTATAACAGCCCTTTTCTCATTTTTTGACATCATTTGCTTAAAAAGACTGAAAAGTTCGGAGAGGAATGTAGATGTGTACCCCGAAAAACAGCAAGTGCTTGACACACTTTGTGTTCAGCTAATTAGCATCTCCGTGCTAATTCCTGTGTTTTTGTTTCAAATCTGAGGCCCCGACCTCATGGCTCATCTCCAGCCTGAAGGCTTTTGTACCAAGTTAATCTTCATAGTGACACAGTAAGACTGTTTATCATCTCAGCTAATTAGATAAAAAATCAGGTGGACTGTGGACTGGAATGTGGACCCTGGATCTGGTCTTGAGTGCCCTTGACAGGAGATGATGTGGGTTTTAAAGGGATAGAAAGTCCTTTAATATCACAAGCATAACAAGCTTGATGGTCTTAAGGCTGATTAGAGCTGGTACTCATGGTGCTTTTATGTGCGTTTGTGGGGAAAAAAATTAAAAACTCAACAAGTGGGAGTTGCTGCAGGTCAACATAGATCAAAGTACTACTGTTTATGTTTGAAGAAGGTTGCAAACATGCATCTGGACATTTAAGCTTTGCCACAGCAGACCTGCACTGGCTGCTTCTTGTGCCATACTGTTACCAGCAAAGCACAGAGAACAGAGGATATCCTTGTCTATAGGAACCTGGTTGCAGATACAGCAGAGCAACGCTAGTGCCTGTGTAATACATCTCAGGTTTTTAAGAATTCTGAGCACAACTGGGGTTTCACCTCATCACTGTCAGTGCACGTTAGCTGCCCGAGCTTGCAGTGGTTGATCTAATAGAGCTCTCTGCAGTGTGCAGGCTCTTTTCCTAGTATTGTGCAGACATGAGTTCATGTTTGAGCCGTACCTTTTTGACCTGAAACTTGACTGCACTTGAAAGGTCAGAGCCACAGACTCAAAGCTCAAAGCTCAAAGCATGCGTTAAATACTCTGTACTCTTAATTATTAGCACTCTTAATTGTGTTGCCTGTTCTCATGCTGGTAGGTCAGCTCTTTGCCTGAGATGCTGGACAGTTAGTTAGGCATACTGGTACATATGATTTGACAGGGGGTGGAGGCAGCTGCTCTGATTGGAAGAATGGCTCAGACTTTTCATGATACACCACTGCCAAATCCTTCTCCTGGAAAGCTTTAGTCCTTTTGACTAAACACGAAGTACCGGAGTAAATCCTGCTGGAATTTCTCTGACTTCTACATCCTAAAGCAACTTAAGCTGATGTTGCTATGCAGCAGTCATTGTTCGGCAGGGCTTGAACAATGCAGCCCAGCAGGGCAATAGGCATGGCTTCTGCTAAAGAAGTTTAATCTGCTAATCCACTCTGTTTTCATGTGGCTGTAGCATTTGTCAACCTGCTGCCTTTTCGCTTGACTTGGGTCAGGATTGGTCCGGCTCTGCACCCAGGAGTCCTGCCCTGAATCAGACCCCCTCCCATACATGTCTGCAGTAATAGAGGGGAAAGCACACACCCCTCCACGTCTTCCCTCATCACTCAGCCTACATTCCTTCACTAATGAGCCTGCACCACCTTCACCACTCCCCCCTTACCTTCATTAAGCCTAATACAGCCCTGCTAGAAGACATCCAAAATTGTGCAGAAACTGTAATGAGGGAAAGCAATTAAAGAACACTAACTTACAGCCCAATCAATCAGTCGATCATCTCCCCTTTCATGAATCATTTTTTGTTCAGCAGTAGTACAGCAATTTGGTGTTTCATAATTTTGAGGGACTCACAAGAGACATATTTTAAAAGGAATGGTCAAGCTGTTAAGGTGGAGATAAATTTACTTTTAGTCCATAGTATAAGTCAAGCTCAAAATTCTACATAAGACCCTCGATATTTGGTAAATGCCCACATATTTCAGCAGGGCCTGTCAAGCTCTATATGGTCCAAGTTTGTGTCACAAATTCTGTTATAAATTGGCTCCAAAAACCATGATTCCATCATGATGACATCACCATTGTTATTTTTTCAGCCCTTCCAAAGCTCCACATGACATTTACAAGTGTATTTACATGCTGACATGTCTCCATTACAAATAAGTTGAATGCATAAAATAAGTTTGAGTTTGATTTTAATCACAGGTAAGCAGGTAATGCATATCAGTCTCTGTCCCACTTAGTTGGTACAAAGAGCGACTGCAGGAAAAGCTAATCTTTATCGTTACATTTGTCTCCGTATTAGTTCTATTGTTCATAAAGTCCTTACAGTCCTTACAGTCCTACCTCCAAACCTCAGTCACACAAGGACAGGACCACACCTCATTAGTGAAGAATGTCTATGTGATACCACATGTGCATCTGTGCTGTGGTTTATAGTCCATAAATCTCACCAGGGAGAGATGATAGCCTGAACCTCCTCCAACATATGATCCAACAGCCATGATTCTAAAAGATGAGAGATGAGCTCCCATCAGTCACAATTAACTACAGACTATCTGTCATAATAGGACTGTGGTAAAATGGTACAAAATCATAATTTTGGCATTTGTCTATTGGTTAATATATCATAATAGTAATATCATAAAGGGAACTAGTCGAACAGCTAGTCAGTATAAAGATGGGAGCCAGTTAGACTGCATCAAGCCAACGTTTATTTTACTGTGCAAGCTTTAATTTGTTCTAGGAAATTTGAAGTGTGCGTGTGCTGTGTTTGTGTTTCTAGTTTCTAATATCAAAACTCAACAGGTAAATCTCCACCTCTATCCACTTTCCCTCCTGCCTTTATAATTGCCTTTATACATTTTGAACTAGAGTCACAAAGTTTTAATATATGCACAAGTCTTTCTACTAATCTAAATTTTCTCCTCCCTGCACACTGCCTGTGCAAATTCAAGTATTGTGTATTTTGATGTATTTTGCACTGACTTTATATGCAATCATTTCCCCCTCTGAAATGTAATTTGCTTTCAGCCTGAACACACCTCTATTCAGATCAGCTAACAGGCAACAAGGCATAAGGTCCCATTCAAAGGACACAGCTGTTGCAAGACCAATTTATAGTTCTGCCCAACAAGGCTTCAATCGTCTCTATCAAATGAGAAAAGATGGATTAAGACACACTTTTCAGTTCTCAGCAGACTTCTGCCAACTCAACCTTCACCACCTAACGCTTTCATCAAATGTAGTAAATCTGTGTAGTTGAATTCTCCTGTGAAATCTCCACTGTATGCCAGCTTCCGCATGTCTCATTTAGGAGCTGAGGAAAATATGTGTTCAGGCAGCCATGCTTTGCTTCCTGTTTATTAAGTAAGCCATGAACCTGGCCTGCCACAGCTCTTTCATCATACATGGCAGCCAAAGGCCAGCTGGTGATGCAGGAGTCTTATGAGTTATGTTTGTCTCAGAGGCTTTCCTCTGAGTCATGCAGGCTAACATTCAAACGAGGGGAAACATGTGGTTATTTTTCAGGGTTACTTTCCTTCCCCTTGCTTTTGTTTCCCAACAACAGAAAGGGATGTATTCCATCAGGGGTTAGACTAATGGAATAGATGAGTGGAATAACTCACACTGAGGGAAGGAAGAGCACAGCTCAGCATACAGTATATCTTTATATTTATTTAACCTCACCCCAGGTTCACATCCAGGTCTTATGTTCAACCCCAAAGCTCCTTATTTAGCAGTATTACCGCAAGGAGACATTGTTACATCAAGCATATTAGGCCTAGTTCATACCTGGTACTACCTGGTGGGTGATTTGATCACATGTGGGCATCTTGAAGAACGTGATCAGAGCTCATTTCCCTGCTTTATATACATATGCACACCACATCTCTTTGTAAAGAAATATGATGTGATTCTTAACCTGTAATAGAGGTAGCAATGCAATCCATGTCTCCTGGAAATTAAACGAAGCAGACAAAATGAAAAAGAATCCCCCAAGAGATTTGGTTCAGTATACCTCCATATGCTTAAAAGAAAATTCAGTTGTGCATTAAAAAGTCAGCTTACATGATTTGAGAAGGGGAATAAGCAAGTACTACCTCTTATGCAAAGTGTTAGAGTCTATGGTGGCCCAGGACACAATTGACAGTTTGGCCACATGTGGCCACCTACAAATGAGATCTGACCAATCAGCCCTCCTTCAGGCCTAACATTAACATCCTTCTGTCCAAATGTGTCCTGGGCCAACCATCTCTAATAGTATATTAATAACAGAAATGATGCGTGTTTGATCATACGAGGTCATTGCTGAAGAGTCGCAAACATAAAGGGAAGATTACAGTGGCATTAAAAAACGATGCAAATATTTTTGTTTGGATTCTAAAATGGGACAATTTATGTTCCCTCCTCTAGATCTTTGGGGAGACTGAGCCTGTCCGGATGACATCAGAGGGCTCAGACTGCCGCTGTAAGTGCATCATGCGTCCTCTCAGCAAGGACGCCTGCCTGCGGCTGCGAAGTGGCAGTGTACGTGTGGAGGACTTCTACACAGTGGAGACAGTCAGCTCCGGATCTGACTGTAAGTGCTCGTGCACTGCCCCACCTTCCTCCCTCAACCCCTGTGAGAATGAGTGGAAAATGGAGAAGCTGAAGAAACAGGCCCCTGAGTTACTAAAGGTGAGCAAATGAGGTTTGAAGCCACTATAGCCATTTTCTGACATGACCTCTGGAAAACCTCCGGAGAATTGGTGCCTTTGACACAACATTCTTTGACACAAACGTCAGTAACATGCCACTCGCTCGTGGTGAATCGTGGAAAGGATCTCCTGCTGTGTTCATACATCCGCTACTCTGGACTTGCTGCAGACTTTGTACTAGGGGACCAGGTGGAGAAAGGCCACAGGAGGCTCTCACTTGGACATTTGCATTCACACATACAGTGCATGTCTGAAAGCAGCTTATGATAGCATGTTTCAAGTGATTCTGATGGCACATTTTAATGACAATGAGTCGCCAAAGAAATGTTCAAATCTTATAAATGTTAAAGGTTATTCTAGCAGCCCTGAGAGGCAACTGTGTTTATTGCATCTCTTTTTTTTAAGTGTCAGTGTTTAAAAACTTTTGTAATCATCTTCTGGCAATTTTGAATCATTATTGCTCCTCTTTGTTTTTACCTGATTGTGAACTAAATATCGTTTCATTTTGAACTGTTGCACAAAAATGATTGAATGTTTATTTATATATTTATACCCCTTATTAACAATTTTTTAAGTAGCTGATACCTGCAGCCAGACAACCCTCAGCCACATTCATTAAGGTCAAGTTTGATCTGTGCAAAAACCTTGAGAATAATTAGAAATGCCACTTTCTTACCTCTGTAACTACACTGCAGAAAGAAAAACCCAATATAATCATCCATGATCCACATACATACATACTATGGTTATTGAGCAGGATGTATAATAAGGTTTCACTCCAGTTTGAAATCCTGATTCAACTCTCTGTGACCTTGTCTTAGTTATATGTCATCAGAATCTTTTGTGAACACGTCAGCTCACTTCTGCACATACCTAAAGCCCGCTATCATTATTCACAGCTGGAGAAGCACAATATGTACCATGTGAAGTAAAAGGCGGTTCCAGATGTTTGATCTGACTACACCTTAATACGGTATATTGATCAGCCCAATACATCCCCTAAGGAAATGATTTCATTGAAAAGGAGAGGTTGAAAATAATTTAAATGAACCCCAGACTAAGAGCACATTGCCTAATAAGTGTGGATGTCAATAGTGGTAATCAGAGCAAATAATTTGAGAGGTCACTTAAGCTATTGCTGCAGTTAAAGAGAGACATTAATCTGTCAACTCTGTGTTCACGAGATGGTAAATGATGCTAGTTCTCTTTCATGGCCTGAATGAACAGCTCCAATCTATGGTGGACCTCCTCGAGGGAACCCTTTACAGCATGGATCTAATGAAAGTCCACTCCTACATCAACAAGGTGGTGTCACAGATGAACACCCTGGAAGAGGTAAGCAAAAAAGGACATATACTTTCTCATATGATTATTGTGAAAGGTTTCGTGAAGAGACTCATGTAACTTTTGAGTAGCAGCTCATGTTTTTCATTTGAAATGTATTTATTTATTAGGATAAATTTGATGTACCATCTAAGTCCCAACATGTATTACAATCGTTACATGACAATTAAGCAATGCACAAAAACAGCAATGTACAGGCAATAGAAATTAATGAAAAAAAATTTAAATAACAGACCACATACATTAATAAATGTGTAAATTGATCACCAGATGCAAACATGATGCAAATATAATCTTCAGGCATTAGCAAAGGATATTCTCTACATATGTTTATAGAAATACAAACATACATACATGTGACAGCTTCGTTAATAACAACAGCAAATAACGGCTGATGTGATTTAATGGATGATAATCATTGTGACAGTTATGATGCTGTCTTGCAGACAATCAAGACAAACCTTACACGGGATAATGAATTTGTCCGGGACAGCATGATGAGCCTCACCAACCAGTTCAAGAGATATGAGAACTACACCAACATTATGATGAGCATCAAGAAGGAGATCTCCAGTCTCAGCTTGCAGCTGCTTCAGAAGGACTCAGCTGAGAGCAAAGTACAGGTTAGAAAATAAACTCTCAAAAATGCACTAAAAAAAACTATTTTGTGCACACATTTTCGTTAGCTATTAACTGGGACATACTGGAAATATCACACATTAGAGGAACAATTGTAGTGCACCCTACTAGTGGTTGTTGGGGTGTATATGTATACGTATTACTTTGAAGACTAAGTGATTCTATGAATGTTGTTGTCAGTGCAATATGGTGAAATAATAAAATCTATTCTTTAAAACAATCTGGCGATGTTAACCTACAGTGTGACCCAGTTACCGACCACCACTGTAGTTTATCCAAGGACATACCTGAGACATGTTCAACTCGGTTTACAGACCAATAGTTAGCACACTGCCCCGCCCCAAATGACTGCTATGGTGCGCTGATTGCATGTTTATTCACATTTTTATTAATACTGAACATATCACATATCCAAATCACACCAAACTCAGCCCTGCCCCTCCCCATTGAAAGTACACATGCCAAGTGAGAAGTCGATAAATTGAACTGTTCATGATGTGATATGAACTGTTTATGATATATGTTCCACATTCAGACAGACGTTTGCAGAATTAGTAGGGAGATAATATGCTTTCTATTCACACACACTGTAAGGCATTATCAATAGGGATATCATATCAATTTTTTTTAAATGTTGTGTTGCACACGCAGAGACAAAATACACCTCCAGGCGTGCATGTGTTATCACGGGGGGGTTCAGGTTTTATTCTGCAACACAGAAACGTTTTCATGACCATAGTCCAACCACGCCCCGAGGACCCCAGGGGTGTCATAAGGTGCCTGTCCATATATCACCCTTTCTGACCATGTTAATGCCTATAATAATATGCAACCAGTGTTTATATTCCATCCAGTGTCAATCAGGCAATAACAAATACAAACAATATATAACTGCAGAAATAATGTCTGGCAATCAGAGTAGTAGTATGGGGGGTGGTAGCTGTTCTTGCTGCTCCAATCACTGTGGGTCCCACAGTTGCACATGTCTAGAAGTTACATTACAAGAATACATTGTTTCTTAATCACAGTCAACATTTGAAACACACAAGACAATTTTACCCAGTTTCATAACCAGGTATAATCTGAATTTGCATTTTACAGGACACTAATGATGGGAAAACCAAGGTGACTGTTAAAGTACCCAACAAAAAGAACCCTCCAGCCAAACCCCCTCTAAAACAACCCAAAGAAAAGGTCATAAAGCCCAAGAAAGAGGTCATTAAACCTGGGAAGCCGGTCAAGCCTGACCCTACAGCCAAAGCCAAGGTGGTTGGCCTCCAGCCTGGTGTGGTAAGGGGCATCACATACTACAAGGCTTCCAAGACCAGTGATGAGCATGGAGAAGGTGAGTTTTCAGCTCGCCCGGGACACTGCATTCTCGCTCAGCGTAGTGTAGTGTTCATATAAGGCCATCCTCCCTGAGCTAAAGAAAACACTGTGCTCGCACTTTAGCTGAGTTTGCACTCCCATCTGTGTGCGATCATCTGTGTGTGAACCCCTGTGGGTGTTGAAAATGATCCAAATTAGTTTCTTTGCAGGATCAGGATCAGCAGGCAGCCCCAGCTTTGCATGTCTTACCAACACAGTGAAGATGGTTATTAGCTGGGTTTAGTTTCCAATAGAGGACAGCGTAAAGTTTTCCTGAGAATGTTGTTTTACACAAGTGTGAGATCAGGCTGTAATTGTATTGCTAACTTCACACGTAAGCGAAAGGCAATAAAACCGGGAATCTATAGCTGTGTGGCACACAAGATCCCCACAATACATGATTTACTCCAGTGTTGTTTTTAGCAAAGCTGGTCTAGTCAGCGTAGGATTGGAACGCTGGTGCACATTCAGCGAGCAGGAAATCCAAATCTTTTATTGACAAAATACACGGAGCTGATGGAATGCTGTCTCAATGGAGGGCTGCCATGTCTATGACATGCCTCAGCATCACTCCTCACAACAATGTGTGGGGACCCTCACCAATGCAGAGAAAACATTTCCCGATTCCTTCCAATCCTCTTTAAGTCTAGTTGAATGAATAGGTATGCTGCGTTTGCACAGGGCACACGCACATAATGCTGTCAGACCATGTGTTCTACCATGTAAGTGAACCTCAGTGAGTTCAGCCACCCTTGCCAAATCACTGAAACCAGTCAGTTGCATTACCATAATCTCTGGCAAAGAACCGGATGCAGAACTAATTTATTATTCATTTATTCACCCTAGAAAGGTTTACACACCTTTATACTTTTTTTTCTCTTTTCAACTCTTCAAGTTAAGTTGCGGTGACACACATTTTACTGGGAGTTGCCCATTGTAACCACATTTCTCAGCTGTTGGTCTCTGTGCGTCTGTGAGTTGGTATTAAGTGACTCACTGTACCCAACTTGATTCAGAAACCGCATTAAAGACAATTGACTTTACAACAGTAACTGTAGGATTGAAAGATTACATTGAAATCAAAGTGTTTGTAAATGTTTGTTGTAATTGCAGCCAACTGGAATCTGCGATACAGCATTACAACAGATTGATTGGGAAACTCTATGACTAAAATGTAACTTTGATAATGATGAAAGCAAATATCCTGACAAAAAATGGTATGATCCTTTAAAACAGCTTTAATATTTCCATCACCATTTAAATTTATGAAAGGGGTCTTTGATCTGCATAATAATAAAGTAATACAAGATGTGTTCCATCTGTTCACTCAACATAGATGGATGTCACGTCCGTTAACAATTACCTAATGTCCTTCTTCGTGGGCTCTCCACTGAAAGTCATTACCTACACTCAACCTCAGATCAATTGGTTGCGACAGATTTGTTGCTTTTGTGTGGATGAGGGTAAATTTAATGCCAGGTACCACATGAAAAGTGTTCATCACCTTAAAAGACTTCATGTCTGTCAGAAACCCTCTACCGTTAATTGTAAAAACCTTATCCGAATATCGGTTCCACTTCAGCCTCCATCTGGTCCATGTGTTTAGAGTATGCACGAAAGGAAGGTCTGCAGCTTATGTAGCAATGCTGTACTCTCCTCACATCTGTCTAGCAGCACAGGACGTCAGGGTATTAGGACCAGAAGGAGGGAAGCCGCGCTCTCTGCTAAGACTGTCTTTGATTCAGCCGGCTTTTTTTTAATAATAGAACAAAAGTGAATATTGAAGCCTGAAACTGGAAAACAAGCGGCCAGATTTGACTTATTGTGGATTTTTGATGAGAACAACGTTTTGTGTTATATGGTAGGCAGTCAATGCATTCAGACTATTATCAGATACTAAATATTCACTACACTTTACTGAACAAGGTCACAGATGTGATATGTTTTTTAACCACATCAAACGGCAAAGTTGATAACTTGTTCCAAATGGGATGACACAAACATTCATGATAGCAAAAAAGTAATTAAAGGTTGAGATGCAACACATGCTCTATCTTCTCAAAAGCACTGATGATGTTACACTGGATTGTACACATGAGAAGTGATGCAGTTCATAGTGTAAAATATGTATGATTCTGTTTATTAGCAGCTCAAAGTCCAAAGACATGCAGAATAACATGAGGTTAATAGAAGACTCTAAATTGCCTGTGAATGTGAGAGTGAATATTATGTATCTGTAATATGCTTCTCGCCCAATGACAGTCCACTCTGTGACCTTCTGTATAGGTAATGGATGGAGAGGAGGTAGTTTTGAGCACTGACAATTTCTGTTTTATAATTAGTCTCATTGTGTTGGTATTCTTTGTGTGCTCTGTTGCTAATGTACCAACTTTTATGTAGACATGTGGAAGTGGAAGTAGCCGTTACTATATGAACTGTGCAGTGTTTGAGAATACCGTTCAGAGGCAATGGCCCTACACTGACTTCTTCATGTTTTGATAATGTGCCCATCACTTACAAGAACAAGAAGCAGCTTGTTCTCAGGTATTAACAGCTAACAGTATTACTCTCCTCTATCATCACTCGGCATCAGGACTGTCTGACCTTGTTTGACCATCTGCTATATTTTCAATGAAAACTAGCTTTGTAGACTCTTTGATTTCTGTCTTTTTCCCCTTGGCCTGACTCTACACTCCCCTTAACCCTCCCAGATCACTCTGCCAAAATGTACGCAGTCCACCACATCACAGAAAGCCAGTCTGAGGACGGAGGAGCTGAAATGGTCCTGGAAAACATGGAGACCACGGTGGCTGAACCCATCACTACCACTGCAGTTCCCACCACCACAACCACCATCACCACCCCAGCAACTACCACCACCGCTACGACCACCACACAGGGCACACCAGCATCGGAAAGACCAGCTCCAACCATAGTGCTGCTGCTGGACAACTCCAACAACAACAGTCGGCCCACTCTCCACAGAGCAGGTAGCTGTTTGCACTCAGTGTTCTGTCACAGGCTGTGACTCCAGTGACAGAGACCAGTTTAACAGTGCACAGGTTCACTCTGCTAAGAAATGTACGAGTGTGAAATCAATTTATCTTCTTCCCTAAACTTACTACTTAAATAGTCTGTATTTATACAGCAATTTTCTTGTCTTGATGACCACTCAAAGCACTTTACAGTACATTTCCTTGCCGTTCACACACACATTCATACACTGCAATTATGATCAGCACTTCTATGAGGGGCAAGTTAGTTAAATGTTCTGCTTGTATTTTTTCCAGGGAAGATCCTCAAATGTGAAGGGACATTAGCATCCATCGAGCAGCCAGAGAAGCAGCACAGTTATGGGCGCAACGAGGGAGCCTGGATGAAGGATCCCCTGGCCAAAGACAACAAGATCTATGTCACCAACTATTACTATGGAAACAACCTGGTGGAGTTCCGCAATCTGGACAACTTCAAACAAGGTGCGCTTCATTTGGGTCCTTTTTATAACATTCTGTTTACCAGTGGCTGCAATGGGTTAGGAGACCCACTAAAGAGGTTTTCATTTTTACTCAAAGTTGGATATCATCTGTTGATGAAACACATGCATGTTCTGTTAGTTATATTCCCCACTGTCAGAGTTAACAAACACATACAACACAAATCATTATTTGTTTCCACTGGAAGCTTTTTACAAAATGAATCTGTGAAGTTTAAAATATGTATGTTTTGTATGAATATTTATTCACATTGTAATGTGTGCATGTCTATGTGTCCAAATTGCTTGGTGTCTGTGTGGAGGTCACTTAATACACAGTTGTCACCATTCTGAAAATAATTTCTCCCTTTAAATCACTGTTTCGCTTCACTTTTATATTGAGTGTAGTACAGAGGTCATTTCAATTTGTCTCATTACTGAATAGGAGACTGCTCACGTCAGATACAGTAATCATCCTTGTGTTAATGTTAATGTGTGTTACTGAAGGAAGGAGACTTCTGTCTTTCTTGAACTTCCTTAATGTTGACTTGACTATCAGTTATGTCTAACCAGCATCCAAAGTTTGTGGGGCAAAACACAATCAGACCAGTCACAATTCTTGTTTCACAGCTCTATTAGCAAATGGAACAAAATGCTTCACCATTGTTAACCCAACACCCCGCCCCCCATCCATCCTGGAGCAGCAGAGGGTCATTTAGTGAATAGTCGGCATGACTCCTTTGGGACAAGTGAGTGTGTGTTGGTTGGTGGTAAGGGCGGAAGGGGGTGGGGGGGGTGCTCTCATTGGGCCATCCCTGTCAAAAATAACAAATATAAGCTGCCTTTAGACATGCACTGAATTTGTTGCTGTTGCGAACACGTCAATTCACAGGTTTCTCTGGAGGTCATGTCTGAAAACTGCTATACTGATACTGATACTGAAGATAATGTCTCTCCTTACAGCTGAAAAATGTTCTGACCATAAAAGGATCTGATGTGGCATTTGTTTTGTATTTTACTCAAAAGCAGCAGCTTCAGCAGCAGCTGCGGCTACTCATTGTTTTTTTGTTATTTCTGTGAGTGTGACTGTATCATGGAGGGTAGAGCAGCATTTTTTGGACTTTAGCACTTTGAGAATAAACCCTGGGATCTCTGATGGGTGACTGATCATAGATAAGGTCATTTCAAACTGTCTGCTCTTAGTAGGCGTTATGAGGCGGCAGTAGCAGGTCAACAGGAAAATTACACTGATCTACCATCTGGTCAGTATAAGTTGTTTAACTAATCACCTTGGTAAACATATGTGACAATGAGTAGTTAGGGTGTACTGTGGAGCAACTTTTAAGAACTCTGAAGCTTTCATAGGTAAATATGGAAAACGAAACCCAAGCCTGCTATTTTTTGTTTGGCTTTGTAGTTATCATATCAATCTCCTCTATAATCAAGGTAGGTTTCTCTGCAGTACGTTTGAGAAGTGTGTGTGTTGAGGCAGGTGAGTCCAGGGAGAAATACTTTTGGCTGCTGCTGACCTTTATCAGAATTAGCTTTATTGGCCATGTATGTGTGCACATACAAGGAATTTGACTCCGTTTTTTCCATTGCTCTCAACGTACAGAGAAAGACAAATAGACAAATTAAAAAAACAAAACAAGGCAAACAAAGCAGAACAAGGTTAAGTATAAACATTTAACAACAATGTACAAATATGAATATATACAAAGTATATACTGTATATATGAACATAAAAACACAACAACAATGACAGTGAAATGGAGAAATAGTGCAATGATGCAGACTGCAAAGCTTGAATGCTGAATAAATGCTTGAATAAATATGGAAAGACTGTCACAGGATACTTTATATACTTGAGGTAGGTGGAATATATATAAATATAAATATATATAATTTAGAATATATAGATACATATAGATCTACATAAAGATCTGGCTCTGAATATTTGAATACCTTAATATTCTTTGAATGCCATTACATTACATTACATCTTGGTTGTGTTACCTACCTCATAGGTGGTTTCATTACAATATTTGGTTCTAACTGCAGGATCACCCTGTTTTAACTGATAGCTGTGTTTTCTCTAAAAACAGCATTGACAATGATTAATGCTGATTATCCCACATGCTCAGTGAGACTGATGAGATCTGTGGAATGCAGGTCTTGGTTGTTTCATGGCTTCAGTGGGTGGGAAAATCAACTCCTTTCAGATCCAAATCAACTGAGGAATTGGATTACACTCTCTAAGAGAGTTAAGACGATATCCCATTGTAGGACTTGGCTTGTTGATCTAGATGTGTTTGGACAATGGGCTTTCTTACATATGAGGCATCCTGTGGTGCAGTGAGCTCACAGCTGTGTGCGGATGACTAGGTATCTTGGTGAGTGGCGGTGATGCCTGCTGTTCCCTGACGTGTTCTCTCTTTTTTCAACTAGGCACAGTGGAGAGGGATTAGGAGTGTGGGCTGGCCTAAGGGAAGGGAGTGGTGGGACTGGGGGTGGGAAGGATGGGGAGGGAGGTTTGGCTGCACGTTGTTTTTGTCCCTTTCTGGGGTTTTCATTTATTATCATTACTTAAATCAGACTTCCTGAGGTTAGAAGGTTAAGATAGCAGATGGAATGTGATTAGAAAATGACACCTACAGTACTCCACGTGTTTGTTCAGTAATGAACTCCTAAACATACTGTGTCAGTGTCACATGAAGCCAATGTGCACACAGTCTGGCATTGTAAAAACATTGTCATTTGTTCTTTGAGGGCCGAACTGTTAGCACAACATACACACAGCTGAATGTATACAACGTAGATAAGCACAACAGTGAGTTCTAAAACATAGAGACCAGCTCACTATATTTTCCTGCCTATTGCATAGCTGGATCAGATTAAACTGTAATTATTTTTTTTCACAATCACTCCTATCAATCGCCGATGCAATAAATACAAAGTTACCCCAATACAAACTAGAATGGCACGAGTCAAGGGCCCTATCTCGCAATGTTGAAGATAAAATATTCCTTCTAACAAGTTTCATGGAAATATGCTCTTCAGTTTTTGTGTAATCCTGTTGACAATCAAACAAGCCAACCAACAGATCCAGTTCAAAATGTATTTCTGTACAGTGGCTAAAAAAAGCCTATCATCCTATCCTCTCCTTGATTTATTTAGCAATCTAAAGGCGGCTGATGTCGTGTTAGGTGGCGGTTGTTTCATTCCACTTATAAGAGGCCTACATAGTAAGTAAGCAACCAAGCACCAAAGACAGCGACTGAAATTCAGATTTAGCTCCAGAAATGGTGAGGAACATGGGTATTGACCCTGCTGGAGAGGTTATTTTCAATGAATTCACAGAAATAACATCTGATTTTAGCATAGTTTTTTTTTTTTTAACTACTCCTAGCAACTAGCTACTGGCCTACCACTGCAGATGACAATGGCTTCATTGACATGTCCCTTGCTACAGGCCTAACAAGTAGAACATATTATTGCCTTTTCCCAAAAAGAATTTAGCTAACATGAACACATTGGGCTGAATAACTAAAGGGGAAGAAAATGGTAAGAAATTGTAATTATCATGCTAATAGCACACATCAAGTCCAAGTCAAATCTTCAGTGATAATTTCTGTGGTTTGGAATTCTGCTCTGTAGTTACAGAAGAAGAACTACATTTTGATTGAGGTGTTTTATCAGCAAAATCAGCATACTACTGCTGACATAGTGTGATGCTCCACATATGTTGCTGAAGCAGTAAAAGCTTGGATTGTGTTTATTGCTCAGTATTGTCTTGGCAGTTAGCTGTTGGTGAGAAGAGCAGCCTCTTGTGATACTTAACATGTTGGTAATATTGGTGATATTGGTTTGAGTCATCTGTTTGTACTCTAGAAAAAGTGTTCCATGGCAAAAACAACTCTAGTCCCAGTATATACCCAGTTGTGATAATAAATAAATAAGGCTAACATACTGTTTTTATTTATCCTAGGCCGGTGGAGCAACCTTTTCAAGCTGCCATATAACTGGATAGGAACAGGCCATGTCGTTTATAACGGAGCCTTCTACTACAACAGAGCCTTCACCAAGAACATCATCAAGTATGATCTGAGGATGCGATATGTGGCAGCCTGGACGCTGCTGCATGACGTGGTTTATGAGGACACCACCCCCTGGAAGTGGAGGGGACACTCAGACATTGACTTTGCAGTGGATGAAAGTGGCCTGTGGGTGATCTATCCTTCCATGGACTATGACTACAACCAGCAAGAGGTGATTGTCATCAGTAAACTAGATCCTGGAGACCTGTCCTTGAAAAAGGAAACAACGTGGAGGACAGGTCTCAAGAGAAACTCTTATGGGAACTGCTTCATCATCTGTGGCGTCTTGTATGCTGTCAATGTGTACAACCAGAAAGAAGGTGAGGTGAACTATGCTTATGATACCCACACCAACAGTGAAGCTATCCCTCGCCTGTCCTTCACCAATGAGTACTCCTTCACCACCCAGATTGACTACAACCCCAAGGAGAAGGTTTTGTATGCCTGGGACAATGGCAATCAGGTGACATATCAGGTTCACTTTGTCGACCAGTGAGCACAGCTAGTTTGTGCGACAGATAAGCTCACAGTAGGGATGCCAGTATGGCACCTATTTAGAAAAAGGATGTTCAGTATTGACTGCCGAGAAGCAGGCATATTGGACTAAACAGGACAAAGGATGAATCTACTCCAGCCTTCCACTACCAATGCATGTTATTCAAACAACTGACCTCGCAAAATACCAAACATACATGCCTCAAGTATGTATTGGGATGTGTTTGTACAATAGAATGGGGCGCAAACAGTGGAAATAATCTAATGGGTTGAGTTAAAGCTCATTAGGTAGAGTCTATAATCATAGAGATTTCTTTATATCTGCATTTATTAAATGTCAGCAGGCTGGCTAAAAAGATAAATAGTTTTTAAATCATGAGTTTAAGGGACACTGAAGCTTACATTTTAGAATTATCTCTAGGTGTTGCAATAAATTACAGTAGTTTCTGAGGCCTGGGGGCTGATTGGCATGAGCAGAGGCTGGGTGAGATAGAGTTACATTAATCAAGCAGTAACTCCCAAATATAATTGTTAATATCCTTTAATTTGAAAGATTCAGATAAATATATTTCAATATAATACGTGCAGTATATGGCTACTCATAGGGTGAAAGTGGTTTTGGTCGCTGTATCTATTCCTCCTGTAAATACTGACCATGATATGATGCCCTTGAGTAACTCATGCTAGCTTCAGCAGAACTTTTATTTAATTCTGCTCTGCAGGACAGTTTTCAGACGGGAGTCCCTCTTAGCCAATAAAATGTATTTTGACCATGATTTTTGCTGTACAGACATAGACATTTCCTGACTGGTTAGCAGTTAGCCATCTGTTTGCCCACTGCAGTAATTCATCAACTAACCTTGCAAGTAGTCACTTATCCTCTTGCACTGCTCATTTCATCAGGATGCATTGATTAACTCACTGCACCTATCGGAATAAAACAAGAAGCCACCAAGCTATCAAATAATTCAGTGATGGTGTAGCACGAATTAATAAGCTTATGCTACTTAGCTAATGTAAGCAAGATTTGTGTGTCCATCTTCACAATGGACTGTATTTCTTCAGCCAAGAGTTGTCTTGTAGCTTACACAGGAAAAGCAGCATGAGAAAAGTAGCCAATGTATTAGATAATGCAAAAGTGGCTAGATTTAGCAACCATCATTAGGCCCTCTTATATTAGATTCTCTTTTACCTTTTAATGGGTTTCAACTATTCAACACAAAGTTCGTGTTGATTGGCTCAGTCCCCAGGCATTTAACTCAACCATGGAGATTATTTCTGCCTCCCGAGAAGTTCTACTTCCAAGAAATGTTTGTAAAATGTAACTTTTACCTATTGTTTCACTTGCCCAACTAATCCATCCCATCACCTAGCACTTTGACAATGATCTGCTTTGTTTAATATTCCGGCCTCATAATGCTTCCTGTCTCTTTACATTAGATATTGTTTTGAGATATGTGTTGAATATGAACTCCCAAATTATTTTTTTTCAGAGATAAGAACATTTAGAATTCATGTATAAATAAAAGTCTTATGCTCTTAAGATTTATTTATTTACATGAAATCATGACAATTCATAGCCCCTAACTATTTGTCAAGGTTCCAAGCATCTTATTAAATGCCAATGTTGATGTATAAAAGTATACACTATCTTTCATTGTTAATACATTTTGCATAACCACTACATTTAATGTATTTACTGTGTATTTGAATATTTTCACCTCAGTGCATATTTAGAACTGTGATCAGTCATGCTCATATGAAAGGTGCAATGTACCGTTATCTCTTCAAGCTTCAACAAAGAAAACCTTGAACATTTGTGTTTTGACATTGAGAGGCAGAACTGTGTGGGGCACATGGTGGGAATGGTAATCTTTAGCATTAGCCTCACAACACTTAATAGTGCTCTCATATACCGCCACACTGTTTTGCCTGTTCTTGAATTATTCAGTGTTTGGTTTGTTCATATAAAGCATGCTGACTGCAATACAATATTATGTTCAGTTGCAAAGTCTTTATACTTATACATTTTAAATGAAATGTAACCCAACACTTGAAACCAGCTGTGTGTATGTCTGTGGTATGAAATAAAATTCCCATAATAAAGTCTCATGAGATTTATGAATCAGTCTTCAGTAAATGCCATGGGATAGCAGGACTTGCCTTGCCCAACTCCTGTTGAAGGGATGATGACCAGTGAGTCAGTTCTTCTGATTTCTGGACGTCTGCTCTCATGAGTTATGTTTAGTCCTGGGGTAGAGGTCATTGTGCGCTGCTTGATCTCAGTCCAAAAATACACTGAAAGAAGCAGCTCTGGGTCATGGTAATATGGGCACGGCTGCCTGATTTCTTGGCTTAGGATTTGAAAACTTCAGCTTCAAGTCATGCAATTCTACAGAGAGACACTGAAATAAATCAAGAGCTGAATTGTGGGTGTGGTAGAACCATGCATGTGTGTCTCATTTAAAGAAATCAAACCCCCATTGCTATTTAAAGAAGATCTTGCACTGTGGCCTTTATACACAGGGATAATGAAGTTCATTAATGAGTATAAAACAAGACTTAGTTTGATGAGTGCAGGACTAATGGTGTGTCCAATCATGAACTCTGTCACGAAATGTTGACATGTTGTTGTAATGGAACAATGATGTCCACACTAGCCGAGGTGATGAACACTGACAATTCACATGACCTATGCTGCTTCGGTCCCAGTGCCTCATGGCAAACACAAAGGCTCTCCTGTTGCTAAATCTGTACTCAACTTGATCCTGTTCACATCAGCAGGGCCTCCTGTTCATCACATCACATACTCATCATATACCATCGTGTCCTCACAGTGCCTAGGATGTAAAGCCTTTGTCCCCATTTTACATGCTACTGTGAACTCAGGAACTGCACTATTGAGCCATATCATTCATGTTCGATATTTGTGGGGTAAATGTAGGAAAGCGCTCTTCACCTAGATCCCAACGCAGGCCTCTGCTGTACTGAGGTTATTTTCTCCCACTATGGGGACCTTCCACTGCAGGATCTGCCCACATTAATATACACACCCAGCACTGCAATACTCCATCAGGGCCTCTGTGTATTGGGATGATTAGAAACATAAAGCAAAAGCCCACATATCCAGCTGAAAATATAACCTAGGATTATATCCTGAGGTGTGAACTCAAGTCACATCACTTGAACTTAAGTAAAACTAATGAATGGGTGACTTCAGACTGAGACTTTTACTTGACATACTCATTAAAAGACTGACTTGAAAACCAGTGACTTGGCTTGTCTTTTAATCTTTTGACTTGGAGTGACTCTGTAACTTCCTAAACCCAAAAATGAAAATTAAGGTGTAAAAGAAAGTGTTCAGCTGAGCCACTCCTTGCTACAGATACTTTGTATTAATCCCATAGCAGCTTTAGTGTAAGGCGGAAAATATCTATATGGTATCACATTCAGACAATAAAAAATGAATATAATCATAGCATTGGCCATTAGATAAGCTGAACAAACATATCATGGTTCTGACTATAAAACACTGTACATTTGATCCCTCATGCTTCACTGTGCACTCATCACAGCTTCTTACACAGTTGTACAAATTGTCATTGAATCGTTTGACAGTTACAAACACTTTCATTCGCTACTTGCAACTGTGCCTGTTTCTAATAAAAACATATTGTCATGCATGAGACTCGGAGATATGACCCGGACACAGATTATGGAGTGAGCTGACAAGGTTCAGGCTTTATTTGTCAAACAAATACAATAAACTGGCAAACAGAGGGCGCCTTGAAAAAGAGGGAATGATTACAAAATGACAAACTATGAACATTAACTAAAATAAAACTCCTACGATGAGGGACAACACTTCTAATATATAAGTAAAAAATCTCCTCTGAAGAGGGACAATATCTGAAGATAACTAAACTACACTAACCAAGAGAGCTATGAAAACTATTAGGCAAAAGGCCAACAAAACACACTCTTAATGAGGCAACCGACTGTGACTAAGAACTTCTGACTATGACGAGACGAAAAGGCTGGTGGCACTTTACGAGAGGACAAGACACGCTGGCACAGGACAAAGGGAGACACAGACTATAAGCACACATGGAGGTAATGGGAAACAGGTGGGCATAATCAGGATCGGGGGAAGACAATCAGAACGAGGCACATGAGGAAGGGCAAGTGACCTGAAACGAGAGGATAGTTACTTTCCAAAATAAAATAAAAATCACAATACAAACATGTCACAATCACTGCGGTGTGATATATATATCTGCTGTGATTTGGGCCATTGTCCTTTCCTTTTGACACTAACCAAAGATAGACCATAAATACTACACTAAGACTTGAAGGACTTCACTCATCACATTTGTGTTTTTGCCCTTTCTACTTTAATTCTGTAGTGTATACTACACTTTCTTTCTGCTGCTGTAATAAGTAAATTTCCCAGTTGTGGGATGAATAAAGTATATCTAATCTAATCTAAGCAGACTTAGTCTTGCCCAGTATGGAACATGACCAACAGAATGACAAATCTGGCATGATCACCCACAGTGAAGCCTACCAAGACAATGTGCGAACATTTCCACTGTTCCACTGATGGCACCCAGCTTTTTCTCAGTAAACCTTTCATCCAACTTTTACAGTACATTACATTTCATTTAGCTGACGCTTTTATCCAAAGCAATTTCCAATTAGTGCATTCAACATCTATAAGGGGGCCTTTTGGGGTTCAGCATCTTGCCCAAGGACACTACAGCATGGGCTGGGATTCAAGCCGCCGACCTTCTGGTTGGAGGACAACAAGTCTACCTCTTAACCGTAGCTGTCTCCAAAGTCCCTTGTCAACTGCCTCCAACACATTAAATCCTGGATGTCAGCCAAACTTCTCGAAGGCAGCAAAACAGAGCTCATGGTTGTGCCAGGGCTCTCACCCATTTCAAGTCCTGGCAGCACATCACCCTGACTCTCATCCATCTTCAATAGCTCCCAGTTAAATCCCATACCACCTACTTCGACCCTACAGCCCATCCAGGAATCTACAATCCTTTAACCAGAATCTGTTCACCATCCCCAACACCAGATTGCTGACTTTCTGGGACAGCGCTTTCGGCTTTGCGGCCTCCACCCCCTTGAATGCTCTTGCCAAGAAATTTTCATTGATAAAGTTGATCAAATTAATATTTCTGAATCAGGACCCCCAAGACCACGTATCGTATCAAGACCCTTGTAAAAAAAAGAACACGTGCAAAGTGAGTTGTGGCTGTTATCTCAATGTGTTGAATACATCTTTATTCAGCTGAAATACAGACAAACAACCTCATAGGTCTGTGCCGCAGCTGCTGTGGCTCAGAAGCAAGTAAGGGTCATCCACTATAGGTCAGTGGTTGGATCCCTAGCACCTCCAGTCTGCATTCTGAAGTGTCATTGGGCAAGATACTGAACCCCAAACTGTTCCTGATGGCTGAGCCAACAGAGGATGGTATGTGATTGAAAAAGTACTGTACATAGAAGCACTGCATAGATGTGTATGTGAAATGGATTGGAAATGTGCCATATAAATACAATTCATTCACCATATTCATGTGTTATTAGTAGGATGTAATTATGACAAGAGCAAAAGAGGAAGTCAGATGAGTATGAAGAGTCTGCATTAGCAGGAGGCAGGAGTGTATAGATGAGTCCACAAAACAGAAGAATTTGATACAGGACACCTTGGTTTCAACAGTCGTCATTGTTTCTTTGAATCATGACTGTTCCACAACCTTAACTGCATGTCATTATTCTAACCATGGCGACAAAGGATCTCTTACCTTTAAAGTTCAGATTTAATGGCATCTACTGCTTGGTGAAGTTGCAGATTGCAACAATCTAAATATCTCTTACCTCCCCCTCCTCCTGACATGTTGGACAATGAACAGAGACCTTCAGGTAACATAAAAATATGAAACGCCCACTCGAGAGCCAGTGTTTATTCTGGGCTACTGTAGAAACATGGCCGCACGACATGATGGAAAGTATGATGAATCTTAGTTTTAGGTGATTACACACTATAAAGACATCGCAATGAATATTATATTCCATTTCTACCAGTTGATCCTACACACTGGACGTTTAACATAGCGCCTATTTTATCCCAAACCAAGATCTGGTACATTGCAACTGATACATTCCATATTTTTATTACTGCAATATGACAATTTAGGTCCAGTATGCTGGTCACCATAGCGGCAGTTTTTTAGAAGGTGCTCCCATGGGTTCTGTCAGGTTGGAGAAGTCATAATGCAGAACTCTGTCCCTCACACACTCAGGCTAATAAATAAAGATGTTTCTCAGATTGGTCTAATTGCAGAAAGCTGTGGGTTTTATATTTGGAGCCATCCTCAATGGCATATTGCAAACACATTAGTTCTAACAGTGAAGCATGTGTTAACAGAAATGGGACTCGTGACAGTTTGAGTTTCTGTTGAACAGAGCTTCAGCATGACTTTCATTTGGACACTTTGGGCTGTAATAGTCACTTACGACAAAGAGTCGGCAGAACAGGATTTAAATGCAGAACAAGGATAGTGAACAAGCAACAGCAGAGCTGCATGGAAACTTGTGAATGGTCAACCTTTCCTCAGTCTCCAAAGTTATATAAAATCTAATTTGTAAAATAAGGCCTGGGGGTCTAATACTCAATAACAATCCAATTATGAAGTGCTTTTCTCTGAGCTAGTCTATGGGAGCTGGCACTCACTCAATAATGTCTTGTGTTCTTTTCAGAGGGGGCTTTCCTGAGGTTTAGGCTAGTGACCGAGGAGCACACTAGAGAAGGCCATTGTATGAGATACAAAGGAGGCCTTTGGAGATTACAGAGGAGGAGTGACTGTCAGGACCCCACATCTACATTTTGTAGCAGAAGCCCAGACAGAGATTCCCCAAAACACCTACAGATTTTGGCATGTGATAGAGGAAAAACAAAGCAAGTCAAAAACAATTCTATTCAAAGATTATTTGGTAATATATATGCGATGTGATATGGTGACAGGAAAAAAAATCTATCAGCAAACATAAAGTCAGGTCTAGGATTTCACTTTTTATCAGTAAGTAATCAAGGC